AAGCAGCGCTATAGCTCTTCACAGCAAAACGCATAAAAAACAACTTATTCATTTTGATGCGCTTTTGCACATACGCAAATGCTGAAGCGTATATTGGCAAGAGGCTCTCTGTCTGTGTGTGTGTGTGTGTGTGTCTGTGTGTGTCTGTGTTTTCTCACTTTTGTCACCCACTTTCAGCTCGAGAATCAGAAAGGCTAGGAGGCTGCGGGAGCGAGAAAAGATAGGGAGATGAAAATTTGCAGGGATATTCCCTGCGAATGTGTGAGCTAAAGATTGCAATTTCAGCCCCCTAGTAAGCGTGGTTCTCATGTACGAGTGCATGAAATTTTTGGAAGGAAAACTACTAACTCGTCAACAAGGACAGCTGGCGGCTGGAATTTTAAGGCATTGTTCCCCGTCCAGGCACAATTTAAAGATTTCAAATTTAGTTACAGGTGCGAGTAGTTCAAACGAAAACTCAAAAGTTTTGGCGGGTAAATACCTAACTCAAGAAGAAGAAAAGGTATAGAGCTGAAATTTTAGGGGAGTGCTTTTTATCCAAATACTCAAATATTTCAAAAAAACCTAAATATTTTAAATTCTGCTTTCAGATGCATGTGGTTCTCACGTGCGGGCACTTAAAAGGTTCGGTAGGAAAAAAAGCTCACTGAACAATTAGGCCATTTACAAAGTACGACCTTTAAACGAATTTGTTCATTTCCTTCATGCAAAATTTGCATAGTTGACGCTAGTGAGCACAAAAGGTTCGTATAAAGTAACAATCATTCATACAGTTAACGGCCTGTTTACTTCAAGTCGTGCAAAACCACATGTTCGCACTGGCTATCCTGGCGTATTCACGCCTGAGATTCCGTCAAAACCAACATGTGTTTCATCAGACCCAGGCGCTGGTTTAGAGTTTGCTTCTAATTTTCTTTTTTTACATTGTTCAAAGACAATCTTGCCATGATGTTTCTTTCCTAGCAGGAAAAATAACAAAACAAACCCTGTGGATGACACCGCTGTGTTTCATCGATAGGCTTTTCGCCCCAGCCACTCGTGCCCGGCTCCAGTTGCCGTCTTAACTGTACACCCTCGCCATGGTTCAAAACCAATGTGTGGTTTTGTGTTCCTGCGCCATCATGATATCCAGCGTTTCGTAGTAGTTGCCAGGAGCCCGGTGGAGTGTCCACTGTTTCAACGCTGGAATCGTCCTCTGCGAACAGTGGTTCCAGCTGGTTTGGCTGTCGTAGCTCTGGCGCAGGTACAGGAAGCGGCAACGCACTTATTGCATTCGTGTTTTCAGTATTGGGATTGGAAGTTATCGCGGCATACGAGATATGCTGATCAGTGTCACAAGTGTTCATGGCGGGATTCAGAACGTGCAGCAAATATGAGGCATGAACTTTATTCTGGTCAGTGCTCCTGAACTCGCAGGCAGAATCTGTCGTGTTCCAATGTAATGGCTGAAACAACAGTTTTTAAGACAACTGTCTATTTACGTCTACATATTACTAGTCCCAAACAACAACTGGAGTAATATCTTGGTCAAACTCAAACTGGAACGCATCAGGCGAACCGTGGCGAACATACATTTTTGCACTTTTCGTGCTGCCGCAGGATTGCAAGGAAATGAAGTAGCTAGCTCTGGGACATACTGGCCCTCGAAATTCGGGAACCTCATTGCGCAGCCATGTGGCACATTAGTCGTAGATGTTGACTACAGTGACCCGACAAACAGAAAGTTGTTGATCCGCGAAAAAAGCTCTACCAGAAGAGCTAAATTTGAAATCTTTTAGTCGCACATGAGTAGGGAACATCCCCCCAAAATTAAAGCGTTCCAGTTTTTCTCGTTTCTGAGTTTGCAATTTCTCCTCAAAAATTTTCATGCGTTCCTACTTGAGTTCCGAACGATCCCAGGGAGCTATCAAATCTTTTGATCGTGCATAAGTAGGGTTCATTACCCTAAAGTTTCAGCTTTCTGGATTTCCTCGGTCCCGAATTAGTAATTTTCCCGCCAAAATCTCCAGATGCTCGTATATAGTTCCAGTGTGCTTCTAAACGGCTGATTTTGGTTGTGCATGAGTAGGGGACATTACCCTAAGTTATTAGCTTCCCAGCCTTTCACTTTCCCGAGTTAGTAATTTTCCCCCCAGAACTTTCACGTGATCGTGCGTGAGGCCCAGCCGTGCGTGAGGGTTGATACCACAGTCCTGGGGTAGCACTTAGCCATAAAACACGCTGGCAAAATTTAGCTCGAAAGCATGCGTGGTTGGCTAGTTGAAATACCCGGACAGACAAACATACACACACAAACACACACACAGGCACGCTAACGAGGTCGCTGCAATATACGTTTTTGTTGCCTGCTGCAGTGCCCTAGCGCTACACGGCAAAAACGTATGACCAGCTACTGCCTGCCTCGTCTGTTCGTTTTCTTATGCGTTTTTGCATATATGCAAAATGCAGAAACGTATATTGGGAAAAGCTGTGTATGTGTGTATGTGTGTGTGAGTGAGTGTGCGTGTGTGCGTCTGTGTGTTCGCACTTTTTGTCACTCAATTTCAACTCGAGAACCAGAAAAGCTAGAAGGCTGAAAATTTGGGAGTATGTGCCCAGGAGTATGTGCCCATTTGGGAGTATGCGCGACCCTCCGATTTTAATATCATCCCCCGCGAATGTCTGGGTGGCGCATACGGACCCTCTCAATAAATATGCAAATTTTTGGCGGAAAAGCGACTTCGGGAACCAGACAAGGTAAGGGAAATTTTGTAGGAACGTTCCCTATGCATGTTTCAGCTAAAGATTTCAAACTCAGCTCCGAGGTATGCGTGGTACTCACATAAGGGCGTATGAAAGTTTTGGCGGGAAAATTGCTAACTCGGGAATCAGGAAAGCTAGAGAGCCGAAATTTTAGGAGAATGTTTCTTGTCCAAGCAAAACTTAAATGTTTCAAATCCAGCTGTCAGGTATGCATGGTTCCTACGCAAGTGAAAGATTTGGCGGGAAATGTTAACTCGGCAACCAGAAAAGATGAAAGGCTGAAATTTTAGGAAGATTTTCCCTGCCCATGTTCAACTTAATAATTTCGAATTCAGCTCCCTAGTCACGTGGTGTACCTACGTACGGACATGTGAAGGTTTTGGCGGGAAAAGTGCTAACTCGGTAACCAGAAAAGCTAGAAAACTGAAATTTTAAGGAAATGATCCCTGTTGAAGTACAACTTGAGTACTTCAAATTCAGTTTTGTGGTATGCGTGGTTCTTACGTACGGGCAAATAAAATTTTGGCAGAATTTCTGACTAAACAACTAGGTTACTTATAAACCCAGGCTGGAGCGCACCAGGCGAGACGGTGCGATCATGCGTTTTTGCATCAAACTTTGAGGTACTCCATCATATTTCCCTGCCCTTGCCCCAATCCTTCCACTCGCTGTTTCCGCCCCTCCTCCTTCCCCCCCCCCTCCTCCTCCCAGATGTCCATATTCTCGAAACAGTGATATTGTACTGCATCATACAGAACGATTACAAAGCGGTATTCTATGAGTACGGTACTATGAGTTATGTGCCCCAGAGCCCCTGCTGAGCGGTCTAACGCTGCTCACTATGGGATGGTTTGTGGTTGGGT